GCCGTTATTATATTAACAAGACACTTATAAGATACTTAAATTGTGTTTGTTTTGAATAGGACTAGTTGAATGATAACACCCAGCTTGCTTTGTTCAACTTATATTTAAGTATTATTTTTGTTCAAGAAAAAAATATCGAAAATTATTTGATGACTAGTTAAGCGTGTTTTTGATTTTTAACCCTAGCGGACAAAATAACAAAAGAAACATTAGCAATGTAAGTTCAGTTTTCTTTTTTGTTTTTCTTTGCTATACATAAAAGTTGGCAGGACAAGTCCAATTTTGTTTTAATCTGTATTTTTGTTGTTTGGCCTGTATATAGTTATACTTTTATGCTAAAATGGTTTCAGAATACATACACTGACATAGTCATCTAAAATAAACAACCTAATAACCCGAGCGAAGCCGGGTACTTTCGCTAGTTGTACATAAAGTATTGGTAATGTAAGTCCTGTTTTAGGATGTAAAATCCTCAGCTTATGAATCTCGACAGTTAATTATAAATTGCATCACATAAACCTGATAATAATGTAAGTCTCGTCATTATTTATAGCTCCAATCAGCAATATGTACTGAAGAATGACGGGATTTAAATTATTATGTGTCTTATCGTAAAGCCCAATTTTGTTTTTATTCCAATTGTTCCACAAAAACAAAGACGATAAAAAGCCCGTTTCTGCTGTTCTTTTATCATTGTTACGTTAAAGCGGTGGGATTTAGAAATTCAGTCTTTGATAAAATCGTTTAATCCGTCAGTTGTCCTTGTTGAGAATAGTATTGACAGATCTGAGGTACAAGTATTTCTATTATAAACGCTTCATGCGTTGTTTTGAGGTGTGGCTTAACCTGTCTAGTTTATAGTAGCTGCTCACGACGTACGGCAAATCTAGACCTAACTCAGAGCGTCCTCATACTTGTCGAAACGTATCTTATAAATATCACTTCTTGTATTTCTGAGAAAATCGAGAGTTGAATCCTGACTAGCGTATATGAATTAATATTTAACACACCCTAATTGATTTGTTGTTAGCAATGTCTAACTTATTTGTCAAAAGTTCTTCGGTGCAAAACGACCATAATAAATACTACTTGTTGTAATCTTGAAGTATATTAGTGGTTTATACTTAGCAGGTGAAGCATGCTTGTTTAGTACAGTTGCTTTATTTGTGTTCCATTCGCAATATAGAAGTAATATATGGTATTGCCGGCTATCTATATTTAAACTTCTCTGTAATTTCGATGATAGTACAAATAAAAGTTTAAATTAAACATCATTTCTCTGAATCTTAAAAAACTAACCAATCATAAAATATTTGAGATTTTTGTAGCCTTTTTGTGTGTATGTGTAAAACTTACGCTTATTGCTGATATATAAGAAAAAACTTTTTCTAGGAGATGATTGTCTTATGATTATTGTGAAGCACCAAGAAATATTATAAGTATATTTTATAAAGAAACACATCTTGATATTTAAGTTTAATAAATCCAACTCATTCATGGTGTCTCCTGTTCCTCCTGGTATCCTCCCTCGGTTTGTTTCAAGAAAATGGTGTCAGGGTCATCTAGTGACTCCTCCCTTATCGAACCAATTTAAAAACTCTGAAACAAAAAATAAGAAAAAATGACCCTGAGATTTTTAGCCAATGGCCCTAATGAGCTACTCAAGAACCCAGAACACGTTTTCTGTAAATTAACTAAACATGCTAAAAGATCTGATGCAACTGCATCTTTTCTTTAAATTCTAATTGGTATAGATGAACTGTTTTAAATAATATGTTAATTTTATGCTTGCATTACTGACAAAATCCAACTACTTCATTTTTAGTTCCTGGTGACGTGTATTGAAATATAAACATTTTTATGTGTTGCTTAAAGCTTTTGGTAAAACCGGAAAGAGTAAATTATTTACTCAGGATTAATACATTCAATAATGTAGTTTCTCCTTTCACGTGGGATATGTATAGACACAACTAGATGTTCTCAAAGAGAAGAAATCAAAAGGAAATTGAATAAGTGTTTTAAGAGCAGTTTCTTTGTCTGGGCCGTTAGCCTGAAAGTTTGTCAACTGTTCCGTCACAATAAATAAGCATGAGACGTAACCAACGTTCTATATTATTATGCAATCGTGTTTACTAATTGTGTTTATTTAACAGATTCAATACCGTTCTTTCAAATCTTTGTCCGTATTATTTTCAAGAATCTGCTGATCATATTTCACGTATTTGTAGTTTCAGGGAAAAAAAGAGCAAAGTGCCAAATCAATAATCATGGAAGTATAATAACAATAATCATGGAAGAACAACAACAATAATCACAGAAGAACAACAACAATAATCACGGAAGAACAAAAATAAAATGCAAACAAAGTTTATTCAGAAACACAAGAAATAAACATTTATGTGTACAATAAAATCCAAGGAAAAAAAGCAACACAGACAAGTGTTTGATTAAGAAGACAAAAGAAGCAGGATATCAAATGTGTGTTGTTCAGTGTGAGGGTAAGACAACAGCACAAACATTTACAATTTTTATCAATAGTCAAATATTTAAGAAATACTAATAAGACAGATGCTCAGTGTTGCCAGAAGACAAGAGTAACAGGGTTTAAGCTAATCTACTGGTCAGCTAAATAAAAAAAAAATCGAATGAAGTTTTCAACCCCACCAAAGGACAAATGTAAGGGCTCATTCATGCAAATATAATTGTGTTTGGTTTTAGGGAAGAGCAGATGACAAGCACAGCAACGTTTAGACTAATGTTCGGTGAGAACAGAACAGAAGAGCATAAAACTTAAACCTATGTTAAAATTGAACAAATGAAAAACACCGAACTTCAAGAGAGCATTCATGTGTGTATATATATATATATATATGTGTGTGTGTTATTTTCGACAGATGACTAAAGCAGCAATATCCTACTTGAGCAGACAACAAAACCAGTAGCATACAAAAGAGTGTTCAACATAAGCAGAAAATAAAAGCAACATTTAAGTAAAAGTTAGTGTAATCAGTAAGCAAAGTAAAAACTATCACAAACATCTGGTCAAAGCAGGCTACCTACATAATGAAAACTAAAGTTTAGCACAGTAAACAGTTTAGCTGATTTGAGCATTCAATGTTATAAAACAAAAACATTTATAATGACCAAAATGCATTTGTTCATCAATCGAGTACCATCGCTGTTAAATCGACATTTATAGGTAAGCAATAGAGACGAATAGAACAGTGTTTAGTATAATAAAAGGTCAGAACCAACCTTATTTAAGCATTGTTTTAATATGAAGAAAACATTAAGAAGAAACACTGAGGCAAATGCTCATCTTAAATAAACAAAATGGCGCCAAAAAAATAAAATATTTTTCCAGCAAGAAAAGAAAAAATTGAGCAACATGCTATTAAATACTCAGATGAAAAAATGAAAGCAGAAATATATTTTCATCTTACGTGCAACTTATTTTTTTTAATAAACTTTTAAGTTTTCAACACCAGCAGAAAATGAAAGTTCAAATAAGTGGTCAGCGTGAGCAGAATACAAAAGGAGCGCCATTAGGGTAACTGTTTAATAGCAGCAACAGCAAGAACAACACATTCAAGACTACACTCAGCTTATACAAAAACAAATGAAGCAATATTCACAGAAGCGTTGTAGGAAAAGGGACAATCGGGCAAGTTTTCAGTGTTATCAGGGACATCAGTAGAAAAATAAATAAGTGTTAATTTGGAATAAATTTAAGACAACAGCGCTCAAATAAATGTGGTGAATGAGTGAAAAACAAGAGCAGTACTTTTGGTGAACAGTAGACAAGATTAGTAGTATTCAGTTAATTGGAGGTCATGAACTGAACACAAAACATACACTTTAACTTAGGTTGATTGAATATGTTAAGAAGTCAAGAACAACCGTACTCAGGCAAGTATTAGACTTGGGCAGAAGACAAAGAAAGTTAAATATTCAGCATGAGCATGAGACATTAGCAACACCATTTGATATGTATTTGACTTGAACGAAACACAAAATCTTAAACAGTTAACACAGTAGTTCACTTAAGCAGCAGGTAAAAGCAACAACGTTTATGAAGCACTCAACTTGAATATCAACATCCAGATTTTCAATATGAGCAGAAACAAAATATCAGTAACGTTCAAGTAAATATGATTAATGAGCAGAAAACTAAAATATCAACATCCAGATTTTCAATATGAGCAGAAACAAAATATCAGTAACGTTCAAGTAAATATGATTAATGAGCAGAAAACTAAAATATCAACATCCAATCAAGAATTCAACATGTAAAGACAAATAACCAATGTCCAGTCAGTTGTAGTTGTTTTTTTTTAGTGCAAAGCTACACAATAGACTATCTGCACTCTGCCCACCGCGCGGAATCGAACCCCGGATTTTTGCGTTTAGGTCTATAAACTTTGTACAAACTCACCGGGTGACTTTCCAGTCAGTGATCACCAAGAGCAGAACAAAACTGGAACCAACAGCAATAAAACATACATATATTTTGTATTAAAAAACGTTTTCATTTTCTCGACATTTTATTCTTGAAGGCACATTTAACATATATATCATAAATCACTGGTATTTTATCAAATAATGTAACTTGTATATCGATATTATATATGTATATAACAAATAATCTATCATGTTAGTGTTCAGTTAGTACATCGTTTTTTGTATTCTTTAAGTGCGTTATATAATTATGTAAATTTCTTCTAAGTTACTTCAATATTTCAAATGCAATATTTTCACTTGATGAATCACATTTTAACGTGAGTGTTACACAACCAATTACAAGGAATAATGACGATTTGATTACGAAATATTCGATTCTTAATTAATTATTATACGGATAAACATAGGCTTGTTACATTCTAATTCGCTACTTTCACCTTCTATTGTTACGTCATGTCGACTGCTGCCTCGTGACAGAGTGAGACGAGTTGTGATTGGCTGTAGAACGTATATAAATTCCTGTCATCTCGGACTAGCATCAGGATCATCGTGGTAACTCCAGTCCTAAAGAGATAAAGAAGATGTCAATTTCCCGCTTAGCTTTGGTGGCTTGTGCCTTGGTAGTCGTTAGTGCTGCTCCTCAGGAAGGCAATCCTGCTCCTCCTGTAAGTTCTTTGAAATGTTCTTTAAAATCGAGTAATTTCTAGCTCGCTACTTCTTCTACGTACATAATTCTTCTTTATTTAATAATATAATTCAATTATGAAATATAGGTACTTAGCGATCATATTAACATTGTTATTAATCAATTTTGATACCATATTCTAAATGTTTGAAAGCATTTGTTAGATTAAAGTTTGAAGATGGTTTGATTGGGTAATGAAAGAAACTTGTAATAAAGTACACTTCTAATAAAGTTGCTAACGTTGTACACTTCTAATAAAGTTTCTAACGTTGTACACTTCTAATAAAGTTTCTAACGTTGTACACTTCTAATAAAGTTTCTAACGTTGTACACTTCTAATAAAGTTTCTAATGTTGTACACTTCTAATAACGTTTCTAACGTTGTACACTTCTAATAAAGTTTCTAACGTTGTACACTTCTAATAAAGTTTCTAACGTTGTACACTTCTAATAAAGTTGCTAACGTTGTACACTTCTAATAAAGTTTCTAACGTTGTACACTTCTAATAAAGTTCATTTCTCATCCAAGCCGTCTCCAAACTGTGTTTTTAAAAAAGTAGAGTCCCCGTCATCAAATTTGTATGCTACATTGTCTTAAAAAATAATTAAGTGTTTTTAATAATAAAATGTAAATTATATGTTAATAAGTTAAAAGAAAAAAATTGCTTTCAGAAGTGCATGCTAAATATGTTTATATTTAATGTGTTTTATAAAGACTTGCTAGTATAATGTTTACGCTGCGTTTCGAAGACGTTTTTACGTAGTTAACGATCGAAGCTAATCTCAATTGGTTCATTGTTCTTCATAAAAGTATTTCTTTTTTCATTCTAAAAATGTTGCTGTTTGAAATCATGCTTGAAAGACGTGTTTCTTTTATCCACCATTGTATAGATCAATGTTTATCATAAATCTCCTATGAATCTTAACAATGTATTTCTGATTCTGTTGAGCTCCTGCTCAGCCCAAGTCGAGCTAACAGATATTCAACGCATGATGCAATCTACCTCCTTTGGTCTCATGAAATTCTAGCAAATGTCCAAACTTTTGTTTCTGAAAAATATATGAACATGTTTGTTAATATAATTTTCGGTCACATTGTATGTAGCTGCATTTTTATAATGTCTGAACTAGTTAGGATACCACGTATTAAATGTGCATATATCCAAACAGTACACCATCGAAGGCGCATGTTCATATTGACTTCCGATCAGACCAATCCATGTACTTAGAGCGAATAAAAAAAATTAACCTGTCATTATAGCTAACTCAACAAAGTGTTTCATGAATTATAGCAGTTGATGAGTCAGCCAGTGGCTTTCCGAGAAATTCCATTCTTTCACACGTGTTATAGTGAAACCATATACCCTGACTTTTGTACAAAGTTACTGAAGGGCTATAGGCGTTAGCTGTCCCTAAGGTTGCGTTTGAAACAATAGACAAGAGATAACCCAGCTAGTCAACACCACACACCACTAATTCTCGGACTGCTCTTGACAAAAGAATAGTGGGACTGACCACCACATTATAACATCCATGTGGCTTAAAAAGTGAGCAATTTCGACGAAAGGTTTCGATCTCTTGACCCGATTACGAGTCGATCCCTCTAACCAGCAGGCCAGCCAGTTCTTCTGAAGAAATCAGTCTACGACGTTTTCAACCTATTGCGATAGGTGTCAATGACAAAGCTACGTTACAAACGCTAAATAATTTTTGATAAGATTCAGAACTTGTTCTAGAGTTAAGGAAACAGGTTGAACAGGTTTAATAGCTGCTTACGCTTTCGGAAATTTCTTCCAAAACTCGAAGCTTATGTGTGTGTTTTTTTGTTGTTTTTTTTGGAAGTATGTACGAATTGACCTACTTTGAAGAACTCTAACTGTTTGAAATGGTTCTCTTTTTCTCTATTGATGTTACATATATCTGATCCCACTGGTTACAGTTTCTCCACTAATTCTCTCGAGATACAACAAAAGTCATAATACTAGATTGATAAAAAACAAACTTTTCCTCAAATATGTGTTCTTTTTTATATAAAGAATAGCACGTTTTCTCTAAAAGGGTTTGATATAACGCAAACGCTTGATATTTTATCTTAACACGCAAGATTTCCGAGACAATCAGTTTGGGTTTTACATATTTAGTTGTTTTTTTTATATATATTTGATATGTGCAAGTTTGAAAATAAGACATTTTAGAGTTTTATAAAGTTAGTTAAATTCGAACGCATTTATATTTACCTATCATCTTACAACCGCTACAAAAACTACTTCTGATTATCAATTTTTGTGAGGCGTTAATTTCAAAATTAGTTTAATTTCACAAATTAAAAAAAAAGTCTTTGTTCCTTACATGGTCTAAAACGTTACGGTAAAAATAACTATTCTGAAAGTCTTCACGTTTCACATTTCATGCTCAAAAATATTTAATTTTTTTTCGACTTGTTATTTCCATTCTGAATTGAAATTAACCTTGACAGCATGCTCGGACATAAATTTTAGCCTAAGTGGTAAAATCATGTATTGTGTTCGACATAACGCAATCGTTTCGTATTTTACCTTAATACGCAAGGTGTCCTACACTATCAGTTTTGGGTTATATTATTCAGTCGTTTTTTTTTATAGCTAACGTGTGTAAGATCGAAAATAAGACGTTTTATGGAGTTAATTTAAGTTCGAACGCGTTTATATTAACCTACTAAATTACAATCACTACAAAACACAATATATTATTTTTTATAACGTGTTAATTAAGAAATAGCTTATCAAGTAAAAGTCTTTGTTTTTTACATGATCTAAAACTGTACGATAAAATAGTTTGTTATGAAATTCATCGTACTCTTCACATTTAAAATTTCATGTTCAGAAATAAAGAAATTTTATTTTTTGTCTTGTTATTTTCAGCAAATCAACTGGGGTAAATGCTCGCAGCTAGAACCATCAACTCAAGAAAAGGTGATTTTAATATCTTCAGTTGAAAATATCTGTTAATCTTCAGTTGAAAATATCTGTTAACTACCAAGAAAATAATTAGAATTATCAAAAATATGTCAATAATTTGACATTCGACAAAAGGTTTGAAAATTTGTAAACTTTTTTTTATCAGAAATTTTATTGTTATTTACATATATTTATTTATTTATATACATAGATTTATTAATTTTCTCAACAATTAAATCAGTTAAGGAATAAGTACAGGAATATTTTGTAAAAAGAAAATTCAGGGATTTTAAAATAAAGACACACCATAATTTTATATCGTAAATGTCTTCTTAATTACAAATTATAATTTAAAAAAACGTAAATACATGTATGTATTTCTTATACAGTTAGTATTCTCAAACATCGGTTTTAGAATTAAACAATTATTAAGACAATTAAACACGTGGAAGGTATAATGTTTCTTCTTTTCTGATTACAGATTGTTTGTGAGTAGTTTAATAATTGAGATAATAATTTGATATTTCTTCTACTCATAAAATTTCAAAAGCTTTTTACAATTAATGTATTGAAGCTTCTGACAGCAAGCTGCTTATGAAAAGCGACATTTTCACTTTGATTTGTATCTTCAGGAAACCAAGCAAAAGGTGATAAGTCAATGTCTCCAGGAAAACCCTCCACCTAAACCTGAAGACACTCCTCAAGTAAGACTCATGTTTCTTTATTATTTTACACTCAAAGAAAATAAGCACAGTTAATGTGATAAGGCACAATTTTTGTCTAGGAAATACTTTTCAATACACTCCTCAAGTAAGACTCAAGTTTCTTCATTATTTTACACTCAAACAAAATAAACACAGTTAATGTGATAAGGCACAATATTTGTCTAGAAAATACTTTTCAATACACTCCTCAAGTAAGACTCAAGTTTCTTCATTATTTTACACTCAAACAAAATAAACACAGTTAATGTGATAAGGACAGACGTCCGAATGATGTACGTTTACACTAAAGAATTAGAACAGAAATCAGCCTGAAGAGGTTTTACGCACGATCTTGAATATTTAGAGATGAAATTACAGAAGTAATGATGAACGTTCTTACCCATCCTTCAGCTTTGAGAGCACAAGTTGTGATGTCAGAACGATGTTGATCCAAAACTTCCTGTTGATAGACGAAGAACAGATATGAGGATAAGGAAATATGAAAATACAATTATATATGTTTTATAAAAGCCTTATAAATCACGCGACTCCTCAAAGGAAAGTATATTTGGTCATTTTATTATTTGTGTACACTCATACGCTCTTGAAAATTAAATCACATTTTGATAATTTAACAAAACCTATCCCAGTCAGTTGTTTCTGTTCAATGATATATTGTTTGAAATTATATGGTTAAAAGAAGTATTTTGATATAATATTGATATGAAGGCTATCTTAACTTCATTTAACGTTTAATGTAATGTTAACTTGTAAGATAACTATTGTATATAAGGGATTTCCTTTTTCCTTCATTATTTAATATCGTCATGGATCTGCATTGATAAATATTTTCTAGACAAAAAATTATGACTTATCACATCAGTTGCAACCGACTGTTTGAGTGTAAAAAATGAAGAAACTTGAATCTTACTTGAGGAGTGTATTGAAAAGTATTTTCTAGACAAAAATTGTGTAAACGGAATATGGTTACCATTAAAGTTAAACCCGATCAAACTGGGGTAAAATATATACTAATCAAGTTAAATAGATGACGTCCCCTGATGAAGTGTGTCACATTAATGCTCATTCTGTTCTAGTTTGACGAAAATGGAAAATACAAGTTTGACAGAGCAGTAGCAGAGATAAAAGAGAAGGGGCTGGATGCTGAGGTAATCATTTATTTATGTGTACTGAATATTCACACACATATCTTAAGGCAATAGTCTAATCACATCTACTCGTTCCTTGCGGTTTTAAAGAAATGAATTTTGGTGAAATTAGAAAGTGCTTCTCATTTAAGACACTAGTGCTTTTGTTTTGTTTTGTTTTTACACCAAAAGAAGGGTTATTACTTTAATTAACGTTCTTCATAAGTTTAACTTTATAATTCATTTTTGTTTCATTAGGATATTTTAACTGTCATTACTGCAAGCATTATCTCTCAAAATATTGGTATTACTTTGCCAATCACCACTAACTTTATCATTATTTTTGAATTACTAGTAAAGTATATACGAAAAAAAAATAGATTTCAGTTTTGAAGCTTTTTTCAATCATTATATTTATTGATATTATTAATAAGCATTTAAAAATTTGCAGATCCTCGACAAAATCAAAGTGAAACATGGAGAGTGCAAATCCAAGGCTGTAAGTATCATTTAAATTGTTTGTTAGTTGCAAGTGATTTCACGATATTATTTACGGTTGATGCGCAATCTCAGAGAGTTAAAAGCTGCAATAATTGATTCCTCAGCCCAAACAATTGTTTGTTAGTTGCAAGTGATTTCACGATATTATTTACGGTTGATGCGCAATCTCAGAGAGTTAAAAGCTGCAATAATTGATTCCTCAGCCCAAACAAAATATTATTTTACTTTTTTATAATGACTTTTATGATCGCTTACTCAGTTTGTTTTGTTAGATACAGCTTGTTTCTTCTGTCTTTGATTACCAGCGTTTCATGCTCGAAGAAGAATCACATTACGTTAGTTCTTCACATCTCGAGAGATTTTATGGTCTTCACACTAGGCTCTTGGTGTTACGATAAGCAAAAGTTAGTGTAGTTTAGCAAGTTTTACTTTCTCGTTAAATCTTGGGAATCATTTTAGATGCACAACTACACCGAATATGTAAATATACCAACTGAAGGCATTCGAATATTTTCTAAAGCTCTTATTTCTAATAACAATAATTATAGGCTGATGGGAAAATAATATGTTTTTATTTTCTACACCACACAGGAGGAGAAGTTCGCAGAAGACTTTATTGGCCAGGTATGTTTTGCAATATTTGTTGCATAAATTGACCAAATTCGTTCAAACAAGTTTTAAACTAACTTAAAGTAGCTGTAAAATAATTGCAGAAGCGATCAGACAATCTCTAATGTGTGGTAATATTAATAGTGGTTATATTACGATAAATATTTTCTAATAACTAATGTTTCCTGTCCCTCGGCTTCAACGACAATATTTACGTTCGTTTAAAATTTCGAAAGGATCTTCGCTAGATTTGTAAGCTATAAACATTCTTTTGTTTGTTTCAGGTCCAATTATATCAAGCCTGTATGGATTTGGAAATTTCCACGGTAAGTAGAACGGCTGCTGAAAAACTACATTTTTTATATCAAAACAAACAAAACTTATAATTTATTATCCTGACGCCCCCAGTGGCACAGCGGGATCTCTGCAGAAAACAAAACTTATAATTTATTATCCTGACGCCCCCAGTAGCACAGCGGGATGTCTGCAGACAACAAAACTTATAATATATTATCCTGACGCCCTTAGTGGCACAGCGGGATGTCTGCAGACAACAAACTTCTAATCTATTATCCTAATGCCCTTAGTGGCACAGCGGGATGTCTGCAGACAACAAAACATATAATTTATTATCCTGACGCCCCCAGTGGCAAAGCGGGATCTCTGCAGAAAACAAAACTTATAATTTATTATCCTGACGCCCCCAGTGGCAAAGCGGGATCTCTGCAGGCAACAAAACTTATAATTTATTATCCTGACACCCCCAGTGGCACAGCAGGATGCTCCCAGTGACTAAGCGGTAAGTCTGGAGGCTTATAACGCTGAAAAACGGGTTTCGATACCCGTGGTGACCACAGCACAGAAAGCCCATTGGGTAGCTTTGTGCTTAACAATAAACAAACAAACAATAGCATTGTTGACAATGATTTAAGCGATTAATGATGATTTGCAAACGGATTAAATGAATAAAAACATATGGAAATGTTTCCATAATTTTCTCAGAACACTTTCTGGCTCGGTTTTCTTTACATTGTAAGGTTTAACTATTCATCTATTTACCATTTATTTATTTATTTCTCTATCCTGGTTCGCTTACTTTTATAATTAATGTGAATATTTATCCAGTTGCTTTTATAGTTCATTGGAGAATTGGAACAAAAATGTTATCTTTATTTTTCAGATCTGTGGTATCGTAATAGTTCCTCCTGAATCTGATTAAAGAGGTGAGTAAAAATTCCCTGAAAAATAATATGAAGCTATTGTCATTTAAAAAATATACCTTTTGTTGCGCAACTGATTAAAACAACAATTTTTTAAAATTACAATGGAATTTTTGAGTAAATCGCTCGAAGTAACAATTTGTTTAATAATTGAAAAGCTTGTGAGTTTAGAAAATGTGAAATGAAATGAAGGGTCCAACTAGATAGTATGGTAGGAAAGACCACGTTGCTGAGAAATTCGTGTATTTATTATTGGTTATTTAAAGAAAAAAAAACACTAGTATAAAATAATTATCCTCAGTAGAAAGAAGGTTAAAATACATGATTTATGTATTTATCCAAATTAAAATACAAATTAAAAATTATTTAAAAAATTAAATTTTTAAAATTATTAAAATACAAATTTAAGTAAGTTGAAGTTTGGTTAAATTGCTTGGTTCTTCATCGCAAATATATTTTTTGTACGCAAATTTTCAGCGTAAAGAATAGTTCAATTCTTTTGATCTAATCCCTCTTTCACTGCATAATTTCGTAGAAAATACATCTAAACTAAATATCCTCGAAAAGGTTGAAACTCTAAGGTTTGTCTAATGTTTTACTTTTCTATAGGTATGAGCGTTTACAGTTAAGGAGAGAAAACATCTCTAACTGGTCCAGATGGAGATTGTTGGAAGTTGTTTTTAGTTCTGAAGTTTTGTCATATCAAACCGTTAAGCCTTTACCTGTTAGTTGGATGTAACTTTCGTAAATCTCTATTTTATTAGATTTTTCTGGATGTTCTTTAGAAATTCCATCTTCTTTTTCTCTCTGTTTAATAAAACTATTCTAACTAAATTTTCTGTTTGATCTTTTATTGTGTTTTGATTTAACAAGACCGCACAGCCACGTATCTGAACATGAAATAAAAGAAACACTTTAAATCTTTCTTAAGTTCTGAATAAATAAAAGAAACACTTTAAATCTTTATTAAGTCCAAAATAATCACTGAATTTTCAACTGTTAAAGCTGTTTTTACTGACGTAAAGACTATGTGTAGTTAATAATGGAGTAAAACACGTTTTCCATGTTCTTATAGATTGCTTAAAACAAAATATCAATCAAAACTCAAGGAAATTAGAAGTCTCAAGCAAATATTTACCTTTTTTGTACGTAAATTTAATTTCATATTTAATAAAGTTTTCAAGTTACAGGTTTTATAACAACCATTTTCATCAGATTCGCAAGAAATAATAAAGAATCACGAATAAAAAACTTAAAACAAATAAATAAATGTTTTCTTATGCTTTGAAATATATGCATTATATATATATACTGTGTTTACAAAATGTACTTTAGTTAATTAGACTATAGAGTCACATCAATACTAATGACTTTATACGAAACTTGTAGTTTGCTTCATCAAAAAGTTTCAACTGGGAATTTATCAAGTAATTTGTCTAATTAAAATGGTCAATAATTTATTCGTTGGTGATGGAGAACTCTATTTTCCTCTCCAAAATGTATTGGAAACGATATCTCTTTGCGACTAATGTGTGTGTATTTCCTTGTAATTTTTTTCATTTTATCACCAGGGGTAATTTCAGTGAAGAAGAAATTATTTGTGAATGAATGACGTAGATGCGCAATGTATTTTTTGGTGGCTACTCCGTCTGCAGTAAACTAGTTTAGCCGAATCCACGACCCATCAGTTTGTTTGTTTGTTTTTGAATTTCGCGCAAAGC